TCAATCAGATTACTGTGAAATACAGTTATCCACTCCCTCTGATTGCGACCATGACAGAGTCATTGCATGGAGCGCGGTTTTTCACAAAATTGGAGCGCGTATAACTTGGTGTGCATTAGGGAGGGCGACGAATGGAAGACAGCGTTTAGTACCACGTCAGGTCATTTCGAATATCTCGTCATGCCATATGGGTTAATGAATGCTCCATCAGTCTTCCAATCCTTCGTAGATGACATTTTCCGGGATATGCAGGGACAAGGGGTGGTCGTGTACATTGATGACATTCTGGTGTACTCGTCTACCCGAGCCGAGCATATAACCCTGGTGCGTCGTGTATTGAGGAGGCTGTTGGAGCACGACCTATATGTCAAGGCAGAGAAATGTCTGTTTTTCCAGGAGTCGGTCTCCTTTTTGGGTTATCGGTTGTCCGCGTCAGGGGTGAGAATGGAGGTGGATCGTGTGTCCGCTGTGCGTAATTGGCAAACTCCAACCACTGTAAAAGAGGTGCAGCAGTTCTTGGGCTTTGCGAATTACTACCGGAGGTTTATCCGGGGTTTTGGACAGGTGGCAGCTCCCATCACGTCCCTTCTGAAAGGGGGTCCGGTGCGCCTGCAGTGGTCAGCTGATGCGGACAGGGCCTTTAGGAGACTGAAGGACCTGTTTACGTCGGCTCCGGTGCTGGCGCATCCGGATCCCGCATTACCCTTTCAGGTTGAGGTAGACGCGTCTGAGGCTGGTATAGGGGCCGTTCTCTCTCAGTGGTCCAGCACGCCACCTAAACTCCGCCCCTGTGCTTTTTACTCAAAAAAGCTCAGCCCGGCGGAGCGTAACTATGACGTTGGGGACAGGGAGCTGTTAGCTGTAGTTCAAGCCCTTAAGGTGTGGAGGCATTGGCTTGAGGGGGCTCAACACCCTTTCCTCATTTTGACTGACCATCGGAACCTGGAGTACATCCGGGCAGCGAGGAGACTGAACCCTCGCCAGGCTCGATGGAGTATGTTTCTCACCAGGTTCGTATTTAAAATCACGTACATCCCTGGGTCCCAGAATGGTAAGGCAGATGCGCTGTCCCGGCGGTATGACACGGAGGAGAGGTCCGTTGAGCCTACTCCCATACTACCGGAGTCTTGCCTAGTGGCACTGGTGGTGTGGGAGGTCGATGCCGAAATCGAGCGAGCGTTGCGTACCGACCCCAGCCCTCCACAGTGTCCTGAGGGTCGGAAGTACGTTCCGCTCGAGATTCGGGATCGACTCATTTACTGGGCTCACACGTCACCCTCCTCTGGACATCCGGGTATTGGCCGGACAGTGCATTGCCTTAGCACTAAATACTGGTGGCCCACTTTGGCTAGGGATGTGAGGGTTTGTCTCCTCCTGCTCGGTGTGCGCCCAGTGTAAGGCGCCCCGACATCTGCCCAGGGGTAAGTTACAACCCCTGCCCGTTCCACAACGACCATGGTCCCACCTCTCGGTGGATTTTGTGACAGACCTTCCCCTCTCTCAGGGGAATACCACCATCCTGGTCGTTGTGGACTGGTTCTCTAAGGCCTGTCGTCTTCTCCCTATGTCGGGTCTTCCTACTGCCCTACAGACCGCTGAGGCCCTATTTACCCACGTCTTCCGGCATTACGGGGTACCCGAGGATATAGTGTCTGATCGAGGCCCCCAGTTTACCTCCCGTGTTTGGAGAGCGTTCATGGAGCGGTTGGGGGTCTCGGTTAGCCTTACCTCAGGGTACCACCCGGAGAGTAACGGGCAGGTAGAACGTGTCAACCAGGATGTGGGTAGGTTTCTGAGGTCGTATTGCCAGGGCCGGCCGGAGGAGTGGGCACGGTACATTCCCTGGGCCGAGATGGCCCAGAACTCTCTCCGCCACTCCTCTACCAACCTAACCCCCTTCCAATGTGTGTTAGGTTACCAGCCGGTTCTGGAACCTTGGCAGCAGAGCCAGATCGAGGCCCCTGCGGTGGATGATTGGATGAGGCGCTCGGAAGAGACGTGGAACGCTGCCCACGTCCACCTGCAGCGGGCCGTCCTTCGTTACAAGGCGAGCGCCGATCTCCACTGCAGTGAGGGGCCGGTGTACGCACCCGGAGATCGAGTCTGGCTCTCTACCAGAAACCTACCCCTCCGCCTGCCCTGCCGGAAGCTGGGTCGGCGGTTTGTGGGGCCCTTTAAAGTCCTGAGAAGATTGAACGAGGTGTGTTATAGGTTACATCTACCTGTTGAGTATAAGAATATTAACCCCTCGTTCCATGTGTATCTTCTCAGGCCGGTGGTAGCTGGTCCACTCCAGGACAATGAGATAGGGGAGACTCCTCCGCCCCCACTGGGCATCGAGGGGGCTCCGGCGTACACCGTTCGGTCCATCTTGGACTCAAGACGCCGGATGGGGGGTCTCCAGTATCTCGTGGAGTGGGAGGGGTACGGCCCGGAGGAGCGGTGCTGGGTGCCGCGGAGGGACATCCTAGACCCATCTCTCCTGTCGGAGTTCCACCGGGACCATCCCGCGCGCCCTGCTCCGCGTCCTCCTGGTCGTCCCCGGGGTCGGCGCACGGCTGGAGCCGCGCGTCAAGGGGGGGGGGGGGGGGGTACTGTCACGGCTTCGGCCGAGGCTGCTCCTCCTCCTGGTTCGGGCAGGCTTCGGCGGTCGTCGTCCCCGGAGTACTAGCTGCCACCGATCTATGTTTCATGTTCGTTTGGTTTTGTCTTGATGTTGTACACCTGTGTCTTGTTAGTGTCCTATTTAGTTCTCGTTGTGTGTGTTTGTCTTTGTGTGTGATTGCTCTTCTGTTTTGTGTTGGAGCTACGTACTTCCCTCCAGTGTTTTGGAGAGGTTTTTCGCACATGTTAGTGCGCCGTTTGTTTGACGCCTGTGTGCGCCGTTATTTCGCCTTCGGGCTTATTGTGCTTATTTTCGACGTAAATATCGCACTAAAGTCTTTTGGACTGAGCTTCTGCGTCCTGCGCTTGATTCATGCACCACACACACCTTCAGCACCCCTTGACAGTATCATGATCTCTCTTCTTCCTATGTCTTTCCACTACCGACCATTCCCGTCCTTGACCCTCATCCTCCCGCTCCATACCATCAGAACTGACACCCATATTGTTCGCATTCCAGCACAGCTGTTGCTTCACCAACTTTATCTCAATTTCCTCAATTTCGCCCACACTACTCGCTGCCATTTCCGACCTCTTGTCCCTTCGTCCAAAATCTTTGCCAGGCTTCGCTTGCCCCACCGCCATTACACCTCGCGGCCATCCTCCCCCATTTAAGTATTTTATTTGGATGGGCAAGGAGGTATGGTAGGGCGGGCCAGGCCCTCTAAAGCCCGCCCATAACGCTGGCCCTGGTTTAAAGTTGAGCGATATCATTCACGCAAAATAATGAGACTGGGTGTGTAAGTATGCCTCCAGAATAATATGGTAAAGTTGGCTTCGTGTATAGGCCCTCAAAAAAAAAAAAAGACCAAGGACATCCAAAGTCCATAATAATAATATGCCATTTAGCAGACACTTTTATCCAAAGTGACTTACAGTCATGTGCGCATACATTTTTACGTATGGGTGGTCCCGGGGATCGAACCCACTACCCTGGCGTTACAAGCGCCATGCTCTACCAAGCTACAGAGGACCACAGATTAACAGTTTTTAATGAAGGCAGCAATGCAAATAATTAATCTCAGTGATTGACAGTATACAGGTATTATTGCATGTTGACTAACCAATCTCAGTGAAATTAAATTAAATCTAGTCAAACGTGGTTTCCATATGTTTGATACCGTTTCATTTAATCCATTCCAGCCATTACAACGAGCTCATCCTCCTATAGCTCCTCCAACCAGCAGCTAGCTATCATTAGTTCAAATAAAGCAAAATGATGTACTGATATGAAAGTGCAATTGTAAACACAAGGGATGCACATTTTGGTTTTTGCCCTAGCACTACACAGCTGATTCAAATAATCAAAGTTTGATGATTAGTTGATTATTTCTAGGTGTAGTGCTATTGCAAAAACCAAAATGTGCATCCCTTGTGTTTACAATTGCACTTTCATATCAGCTGTGTAGTTCTAGGGTAAAAAACAAAACGTGCACCCCTTGGGTCCCGAGGGCCGAGTTTGTGAAATGCTGGCTTAATTTATGAAAGACGTCCCAGGCGGAGGGTTCTAGGTTGAACGTGGAACTCATCGGACACCTAATGATTGTTTGACAGTAGAGCCTCCCACAATTCAAGCGATGGCTGCAGGATGAAGGTATGAGAAACTGCAGAAACTTGCAGTTGGCTGCAGTCAACTTAATGACCTTTGATCATATGATTTTTGTAAAGTTCATGCTGTTGACATGTAGGCGCAAGTCAGACAATTATTATCCCCATAATGCAACACACTTTGAAAGGCTGTCAAAAGTGACCCGCTCAAACGCGCCCAGTGTGTCCCCTCTTGGGAATGAACAGCACAGGTAAACAATGCAGTGTGCACCTGCTCTGTTGCTCGTTTGTTGCCTGAGTGGCGTGACAAAAGTTGCATTACCACCACCTGGTGTGGAGTTTGTGTAATGGGTGATCTGATTCAATCGCGGGTGTCCAGGAAGCGACTAGTAGCAAAGATGATATCTGTGGCGTAGCTCTAATGATAGCTAAACAATAAACATTTAGTCACTTATAGCTAACTAGCTATTTAGCTATGACAATTTAATCAATTTGCTGATTGTTAAGCTTGTGGTTGAATGCAATCTCTGTGTATATGGATTTAGATATTTTCTTCTTACACAGCTGTCAATCGAAAACGTATGCACTGGTTGCCAAGTCAGTTTTTTTTTGTCATTTAGCAGACGCTCTTATCCAGAGCGACATACAGGAGCAATTAGGGTTAAGTGCCTTGCTCAAGGGCACACCGACAGATTTTTCACCTAGTTGGCTCGGGGATTAGAACCAGCGACCTTTCGGTTACTGGCACAACGCTCTTAACCACCTGCCGCCCCATATATGTCAAGTTTGTATTTGTAGCTAATGACAGTTAATCAATTTCTTACAGGCATTGATTCTTCAGCCAGATGACAAAAATTGTCTGGTTGCCAGATCCAAATGCTATGTGAAGATGGGAGATTCTGATAATGCACTGAGGGACGCAGAGGCCTCTCTCAAGGAGGACAAAGAATTCTTCAAGGTGCAATTTAAACTTTGGTCATCATTTATACAAGCCTGTTCTATTTTTAGCCTTTGGCTTTATTGTGTAGCAGTCATTGTATTATCTCTCAGCCAGTGTTTGCCATTATTGAGGGAAGCTTTGTATTGTCTGTTTTGATTGGAACGAAACAGCTGTATCCCCCTGTCAGCCAGCTACTGTACTTGGCCAGAAATTAAAAGCTTTTATTTTATTTTCAATGACCACTAGGGCACACTGTTATTTCTGATTAGTAATTATTTCCCAAGCAAAACCCATTGATTTATTTGTATACCTCATTTTCCAGGGTTTGTATCAGAAAGCTGAAGCTTTATACACCATGGGAGACTTTGAGTTTGCGCTGGTGTTTTACCACAGGGGGCACAAACTGCGGCCAGAGCTGCAGGAATTTAGACTGGGAATCCAGAAGGCCCAAGAGGCTATCGACAACTCTGTGGGCAGTAAGTACTGGGTCAAAATATATTTTTGTAAAAGACCAACAGATTCAGTACCTCATTGTTCTCATAATGCAGTTGTTGTACGTTTTGCATATATTTTTCTAAATCTCTTATCTTTCCACCACATCAGGCCCCTCATCTGTGAAACTGGAAAACAAGGGGGACCTGTCCTTCTTCCACAAGGCAGATGAGGTGAGTCAATGGTAAAGTCTTGAGACGATAAGATGCATCTTTTTCATAATTCCTCCCACCTCTTCATGCATGTCATCCTCATGATGAGTTCTGTGTGTGGGATTGATTGGCAGGTGAAGAAGGGATGGCCAAAGGGGCTTATTCACCCCCTGAGAAGGGAGATGAGGCAGCAGAACAAGAAGACACCTAAGAGTGAGAAGACAGCCAAGCAGCTTCTGGGAGAGCTCTACAGCGATAAGGAGTACCTAGAGAAGCTACTGAAAGATGAAGGTAGGACAGCCAAAAATATTTTCTTAGCCTGTTCCTGTATTATCACTCTTTCGTCTGAGTTTCAGTAGACAAGCAATACACTGTCACACTTGGGGAGATGCTCTTTTATCACTTACCCTATCTGGAGAATTGGCCTCTACGTGTCCTTTGATTTCCCTTACACATTCATTATTATCAGCATGAATTACAGAGCCCAGTGTGTGGTAAAGGGCAAATATTCCAGTAAAAACAATGTCATAAATGGCCTCCAGACTTGGTGAAAGGTAAGATGCGGGGTGGGGAGAGACTGCAGGACCTCATCCTGAACTGCATCATCTATCTGGACACACGCACTGAGTTCTGGCGCCAGCAGAAGCCCATCTACGCGCGGGAGAGAGACCGCAAGCTCATGCAGCAGAAGTGGAACAAGACCCGGCAGAACCCTCCCTCTGATCCCACCCGTTTTGTACTCCAGAGCCTGGAAGAGATTGATGCAGGTAAGACATAACAGACCCAAGGATGAATATGGTAGTTTGATGCTTATTAATACATCCTGATCAATGGTAAACTATCCCCCCCCCCCCCCCCCTCTAAGCTTTGACTGCAGGGAATGCAAAGA